CGACAAGGCTATGGTCATTCAAGCCAAAACAAAAACACTCGAGGTAAGGTCATAGCTTTTCGTTACCCTTCCCTTCTTTTTCTCCCTAAGTTGGACCCGCGCCAATCGCAGGGTCCGCTTTTTCTATTATCCTTCCCATCATGGCGATCAAGACAAGAGAGAAAAGCGTGTCTTCCTTCGGTGACGGTGTTAGTCACCACGTGGCCAGGGCCAGCCGTCGCGTTCGGCCGAGTTCAGTTTTTTTACAGCCTCGATACTACCCGTTACCACTACACGTGACGAGGGTCACCCACGAATATGCCCCCCCCCCTCTCTCCACCACTCCACATCACCACGGCTGTTTCTACTTTATTCTGAGAACGATCGACACAGTCTAACTCCACCCACGCTTCTCCACAACGGCAACCGAGTGAGGTAGGAGGGGAGCTAATCGGTCTAAAGGAAGGAAAGATGCTCCAATTTAGTCCATTTAACGCTTTTCTTTTGAACTTTTTGCCAAAATTCACCAAAACCTGTCACGAACGACCCCCTGGCTCCCGAAAGCACGACTCCTTCAACTTCCAAAAATACGACCCCCATTTCGACCATTTCACATTCGTCGACCCCTATGGATTAGCTGCGTACAGTGGCACACTACGATTACAGTTAAGGTAGGGAACCTTCACATGCTGAGGATGGGAAAGATATGGGACATCAATATAAATATTATTAGCTTGCCAGTTTCTGAAAATGGCAAAACGCCTTGATCTCCTTAAAGAATTGTCAACGAGCAGAATAGAGAGAATAAATCAAGAACTCCTCACTTAAGCTGCGAGGCAACGGCGCTAAGGCCTTGCCTTGTGTGCTGCCGTGCTGCCATCCTTATCAATCGCGGCATACGTGGCGTCTGCGCCCTCTCGCGTACGACGCTCTCTCGCGTTTTCCCTCTCCTCGCAGCGCTGTGTCTCTCCGTCATACCACGGCCGACCTCACAAGGGAAATTTCAGTGTTTTCTATGGTGCTTTTTGCTTTTTCTCCCCACTTTCCTCTTGCACTTCTTGTCTAATTTCCGAACAAATGGAAACACAGATCGGTG